TTATTTATTTGATCATTAATTTTATTGTCATTATTTAATATTTTATATTTTTGAGATATGAAACAGAGTAGCAACAATTTTTTGTACCTTGAAAATTATTTTCTCTCGTGAAAACATTTTTTCTAATGAATAGTTAGTCCTGCTGAATAAATTTCTTTTTTTCAAATAAAAACTAAATAATGACTAAACCGGTTCGCTTGAATTAACATTGCAAAATTATTTCAAATTTTTAAAAAAATTCCCTGCTAGACTGAATAATTTCTTTGAAATTGTGCAGAACACTTATCTAATTAATTAAACTTGACGAATTTTTTCGAATTTTGTGTATAATTTTTTTTTCAGAACTTTTTACCAATCTATATGTAACAAACATACAAACAAATTAAAACCAGCAACAATATGTAGCAACGAACCCATCAGCTAACTCCACTACCACTAACAACAACGTCACTACAACCACCAAAACGTCACTGCGATGGCCACCCCAGCCACCACTACATCAACAACAGCAGCAACCACAACAGCCACCTATCATTGAGGAGCGAGTTTGATTGATGGATGACGTCATCATCTCATCATCATCATCGTCGTCAGGAGAGTCGAGGACAGCTTAAGGAACAATACCAGCATCGTTAAGAGCCATGATTACGTCATTAACATCAAGCAGACTTATTCGGCGGCTCATTATGAAGCGATTAAAACGTGACGTGATCAAAAAAACATGCAAACCACACAGAGTGCTTGCATAACAAAGCACCAAACACACATTACATCTAGTTCAGTGTTCAGTGTTCAGTCACACGTCTACATCACAACTGAACTTGTTAATTTTTTTTAAATTATTTAATATAAACAACCAACAACAACAACAGCAGCAGCAGCATAGTAACAAAACACAGGCAATTTATCATTTCAGATTTCAGCTACTAGAAAAAAAAATTTACTTTCGTTTTCGCGCAAACAAATACGAAACTTGCGCGCAAAACAACCTTGCAAGGTTAGAAAAAAAAGATGAAAAACATCAAACAAAAATACAAAACCAATCGGCAGCATTAGCAAAATTTATTCTATGAAAAAAAAATTTAATAACCACGTCAGTTTAGACTTGAAGAGCGAATAACATCCCAATCAAGCAGTCAACAAGCTGAATACAGAAGAGGAACCTAGGACGAGATGAATTATTTATGAACGCTCTTAGGTTCGAACAAGCGGGTGCATGTGTAGGTAGGAGCAGCCAGAATCACACCGGCGCTGTTGTTAACGAAGATTAATGTCTCTTAATGGCCTTGAAAATTGCTACAAGCCTTTAATTGTGAAACAAACACTTGTTGTACACTGTAGGTGATTAATAATTATTAATTATTAATAATTGTTAATTATTAATAATTGTTAATTATTAATAATTGTTAATTATTAATAATTGTTAATAAATTATAAACTGACCAAACGTACTCAGGCATTTTTATTTTAAAACCTTTATTAAATTCATTCATCTGTCTTGATGGATCAATGATTAAAGGCGCCTGGTCTTGCTATTGCAGTGACTGGGTTCGAATACAAAGAGATCCCCGCCTATCACATGCAATGTGTATGATGCGTGGTTTGCACGCGTATTCATATACGCTGTGTGTGTGTGTTTGTCGTTGAAACCTCTGAAGGAAACGCAAGAGAGAGAGAGAGAGAGAGTAACCTTTAACCTTTAACCTTTTAATAACCTTTTTTATTGAAAAAAAGAAAAAAAGAATTTAAATGGTTGTTTGCGTTAAAATTAATTTCAATTTTACAACATTGCAACAAAGTACAAGAAATACAAAAGATAGCAAAGAATTGGACACAGTAATACAGTACATGTTACGAAAAATAAGTCGGAGCAACAAGTACCAACTAATACAATACAACAGATACAATACAACAAATGGAATACAACAAATACAACAAATACAATACAACAGATACAATACATAAAATGCAATACAACAAATACAATACAACAGATACAATACAAAAAATATATTATGAAAAATACACTGGAATAAAAACATTGTCTATTAATCTATTCATCTATCTATTCATTCATTCGTTCGTTCGTTCATTCATTCATTTGTATATTAATAAAATATAAAGAACAAAATACAACAAATACAACATAAAAAATAAAATATAAAAAATACATTACAACAAATACAATACAACAAATACAATACAACAAACAAAGTATGAAAAATACAGTACAACAAATACAATACAACAAATTTAATATAAAGAATACAATACAACAAATACAATACAACAAATACAATA